TTTTAGGCAGAAAACTGTAGAGCCTGAAGACATCCAGAAGTATTACCAGGAAACAAAGAAGCAAAAAAAAAAAACAAACAAAAAATAAAAGAAAAAGAAGAAAAAGGCAAAGAAGTCAAGCTGGGGAAGGGAAAGTTTCTGGGGAAATGGTAGGGTGCTGGAAAGGAGAAAGGAAGTTTTGTTGCTGTGAAAGTTTAAATGTCTAAATTTTGTATTCTTGAAGAAATATCTTTATTAAATACCTTCTAGTTAGGTCTTTTAATCACATTCTTTTCAAAGGCCATACTTCATTATACTGTTAGATTTAATTTTAATCCTACAATTAAATTGTATGCATATGGAATATGTGAATAATAACTGTATTTTATTAAGATTACTGAGTGTAGCAGAAACCATATCAATCATGCAGATAAGGAAATGTCACAGCAGATGTCTTTTTTTTCTCTGCACCATTGCTGAAAGTGGAGACATAGAATCACAGAATATCCCACAACGATCATCAACTCCAACTCCTGGTCATGCTCAGGACCAACTCCAGGGAGTCACACCACGTGCCTGAGAGCATTGTCCAAACTCTTCTAGAACTCTGTCAGGCTTGGTGCTGTGACGACTTCCCAGGGGAGTCTGTTACAGGGCCCAACCATCCTCTGGATGAAGAACTTCTTTCTAACCTAAACGTCCCTGACACAATTTCAGGCCATTCTCTCAGATCCTATCACTGGCCATCACAGAGATCCATGTCTGTCCTTGTTCTTCCCCTCATGAGGAAGTTGTAACTGCAATGAGGTCTCCCCTCTGTTTCCTCTTCTCCAGGCTGAACAGACAAAGTGCCCTCAGCTGCTCCTCATGCAGCTTCCCCTCAAGGCCCTTCAACATCTTCGTTGCCCTCCTTTGGACACTCTCCAATAGTTTGATATCTTTCTTATATTGTGGCACCCAAAACTGCACACAATAGTCAAGGTGAGGTCACCCCAGGTCAGAGCAGAGCTGGACAATCCCCTCCCTTGATCAGCTGGCGATGCTTTGCCTGATGCCCCCAGGACAGGGTTGGCCCTCCTGACTGCCAGGGCACTGCTGACTCAGATTCAACTTTTCATTGACCAGTACTGCCAGGCCCCCTTCCACAGGGCTACTTCAGTGTCTCATTCCCCAGTCTGTCCATACATATAGGGTTTCCCTGTCCCAGATGCAGAATCCAGCACTTTCCCTTGTTGAATTTTGTATGGTTGGTGATTGTCCAGTCCTCTAATTTGTCGAGGCCCTTCTGCCTTCAAGGGAGTCAACAGCTTTTCCCAATTTAGTGTCATCAGGAAACTTAACTTAGTATACGTTTGAGTCCTGCATTCAAAACATCTTAATTAAGACAATTTCCTCTTTCTTAAGAGAACAGCAAAGCCAGGCCTAGAGTCACCTCAGATCATCTATCTGCCACTTTCTTGTAAGTCAAGGTCAGTTTGTTCCCTCTATCCTTGTTCAATAACACTTTACCTGATGAAGACCCAATTATGTCCCGATGCTTCTTTGTTCACAGTATCTAATTTTTCTGCTTTCATTTTATGCCCACCTTGGTAATGTTCCTATGACTGTTCCCCTAGAATCGTAAAATCGGCTGGGTTAGAAAGGACCTCTGAGGTCATCAAGTCCAATCCTTGATCCAACAGCGCCGTGGTTACCAGATCATGGCACTAAGTGCCACATCCATTCTCATCTTAAAAACCTCCAGTAACAAAGAATCCACCACCTTACCTGGTTAGCCCATTCCAAAGCCTGATTACCCTCTCTGGAAAGAATTTCTTCCTAATATCTAACCTAAACCTCCCCTGGTAGAGCTTAAAGCCATGCCCTCTTGTCCTACTGCTGGTTGCCTGGGAGAAGAGACCAACACCCACCTGGCTACAACCTCCTCTCAGGGAGTTGCAGAGAGTGATGAGGTCTCCCCTGAGCCTCCTCTTCTCCAGGCTAAACAACTCCAGCTCCCTCAGCCTCTCCTCATAGGACTTGTGTTTAAGTTCCTTCACCAGCCTTGTTGCTCTTCTTTGAACCTGCTCCTGTCCCTCGATATCCTTCCTGAACTGAGGGGTCCAGAACTGGACACAGCGCTCAAGATGTGGCCTCACCAGTGCTGAGCATAGCAGAAGAATCACTTCCCTGGTCCTGTTGGCCACACTGTTCCTGATCCAGGTCAGGATGCCATTGGTCGTCTTGGCCATCTGGGCACACTGCTGGCTTATGTTCAGCTTGTAACTCCTCTATTTTTTCCTCTAGGAAAAAAAAAATCCCAATTTGTTTACTGTGTTTCTGTCAGTCATGTTTTCTAGAACTCTACTGGTTTGTTAGACTACTCTAGACTCTTTGACACTTTAAGTACAGTGGCTCCGATGAGACTTCCGTAATAATGCAGTTATTACAAGACCTCATTTTTTTGTTTATGTCTTCTAAGAGGAAGATTTTTACAAAATAATGTTCTGCCTGTCATTTACTGAAACCCTTCAGGTCATTTCGTGCATAGCTGTAAGTTTTCTTACATCCAAAATTTAATTTACTTGTTTTATATTGAAATTCATGCTAGTTTCACAACAATTTCTGGTGAACCTTCCTCTTTAATACAACCACCCTTTGAAGTCTAATCTAACTGGATAGATGATGCTTCCCAGTACTCTTACATAAATGTCATGTGCAACTGGTTTGGAGATGAAGGAAATCTTCTCCATTTTGTGATATACACAGGATGTGCTTTACTCTGAAATTTTTTGTTTCTTTTTTTTCTCTGTCTAATGCAGCTCCCCTCACATAAAAGGATTTCCAGCTTTGCTTTCTATTTCTGCAAAGTTTTGAATGGCTTAAGAATTTGTATTATTGGGAGAGCTCTCGGCAAAATATCAAGCAATCCGCCTCATATCAACAACAAATATTCTCACATGTAACAAAACCTCACACACTTCTCCCCTCCACACCTTACAGGTCACATGGACCTTGAATTTTTTCCAGTTCTTTTTTGGACACCTCAGCTGCTCTGTCACAAATGTTCCAAATCCTGCTACATTGCATTCATGCCATATTCCTGTACAATCTCAGCTGTAGCCATGGAATACTCCTTTTTTGACAGTGAATACCATTTGTGGAAGGACCTAGTGCAATTCAGTGCATGCAAGTTTTTTTGTTATCTATTTTTTCCAATCACAAAAAAGATACTTCCATTTAACCTTCTTTACCTGATTAAGTTTCCTTTAACCTCCATAAAGCAGACTGCCTGTAGCTGATAAGAAAACTCTCTAGAATAAAGACTAGGAAATAAGCACAAATGATGAGAGGTTGTCCTAGCCCTCCTCACAACATTTTAAGAGAAGACAAAAATACGAGAAAACAAAAATACAAGAAAACATTTTTCCAATTTGTGATTTGCAGTTGATAAAAAGAAAATGGTAGTCATTCTCATTTCCTCCTTCTGGGAAAGCGATGTATAAATAATCTATTAACATGCAAGGGCCAAAGGGTTAAGTTGCTCAGATGCTGCCATTGATTTCTTCCCTTTTCCCATGTGCTTACTTCTTCTCACTTGACTGGCACTAAGTAGCACTTCTTTGCAGCTATGCTATAAAAGTTTGTTCCCTTGAGAATCTCTTGCAGCTTCTGCTGTTGAAACAATAATTACAAGGAGGTGAAGTATTTGACTAATCAGCAGCAGGAGTCTGTAGGGGTCCAAAGCTGAATGACAAATGCCAATACTCACTTAAGGTTTGTTGGATCAACAAGCCAATATGGTGAAACCAATCCATCATCTTGTCACCAATTTTCCTTGCAGTCTCAGAAGCCTGCCAATTAAAAAAAAAAAAAAATCTTGTAATTACTATACATCACTCAGCAGTGATTGCAGGCACATGATAAACAGGATATTTTGCTTTCCCTCTTCAGCATCTGATGTTGTGTGTTTTTATTTGCACATTTTCTGAGGCTGCTGTGGATTCCAATCTAAACTTAGAGAGAAAAAAAATGTACCATAAATATATCATTTGGATTTCAATTAACATTCATTAAAGAAAGTTAAACTTCATGGTCAAATTAGAGAAGCAGCAGGCAAAATTTGGAGTACCAAACAGTGGGTTATTCCACTTGTTACTTTCACTGACAGTGTGAAAGTTTCACTGACTCAGTTTTATGAATGCAGTCTCCAGCCAGAACACAGATGAAAGCAAAACTGGACTTTTGGGAGGTCTACCATTCCAGTGTAATGTTCTAGCTCCAAATCCAGCAACAGAACACCAGCGCCTACATGCCTGGAGTATAAATATTGTTACAATAATAAAATAGCCAGACCCAGTGCTTGCTCCTACTTTTTACTTTAAACCCCTTCTGCTGGATTTGTTCCTCGAGTCTGAAAGGCTAGATATTAGCAACATAAAGGTTACAGAAAAAAGATTTTTCTATTTAGTAGTGCAATACTTCTTTTCTTCCAGAAGCTATTAGATAGCATTAGTATAAGGCAGGAAGCAAAAAACCAAGATGTGGTACATGTGATTGCTTCCAACTAAACAGCACCTGCTTTATAATATTGAGCCTCAGATGAAGAAATATTTTAAAAAAAGCAAAGAGTCAAGTATTTGCAAAGAGAATATGAGAAGATGGCAACCTGCTCAGTGATACTTTGCATCCAGAAAGAAGTGAAATACAGTCAACACCCACCAATTAATCGTTACTAATTGTGAACTAATTGTTTTATAACATCCTCAGATGAGTTCTGTCATTCTGTAGCCTAATGTATTAACAGATTAGTTTCAGCCTCCTTTATTAAAGTGTAGTGTTGCCTCTCTGTATAAGACTCGAATAACATAACTCTAAAATGCAGTTCAAAAGTATGAAAGGGAGATGAAAACTTGGAGGCTGAATTTTTCACAAATGGAAATGTCATCCTAAAACTGATTTTCCAAATAACTTCTTTCATGAATATCTCATACTTTTGTGCAATGACAGGTGGTGTATGCTTTTAAAACCCATTCCTGAAGGAGTGGAGTCACTAGTGCAATCATGTGTAATTCTGATGATGATTTGGCATCCTTCATGATCTATTGAATTGAAATAGCTAAGTAGAAATTATTAATTTATTTATATATTTACATTCTGGCTGAATGGTAAGTTTTAATTTAAGAATTATATTAAAATTCCTGTGGCCAGCAGGAACACAAAACTTAGATCTGAATTCTACATATTGGTTTTTTGTCTTTTATCTGATGAACATGAAATTATCAAGACAGCATAAAAGATTTCCTGATCTCTTTCAAACATCTGAGAACCACAACAATAAGAAGCCTTTACTTTTAAATATATTTTAATACATACACACATTTAATTATCCACAGACCAAGCAAAATGAGAAAACAGCAGCTTTAGAAAGTAAGAAATCCTCCATTCTGAACTCCAGATTGTCATTGCTGCAAAGTTGTTCACAGCTGGATACTGGAAATATTCCATTGTTTTCTGAACCTCTGCTTAAAAGTTTCCAAAGGCAAACAAACACAGTATTTCTGAAGACAAAAAACCACAATATTGCTACTACTATACATTTTAACTTGTTTCACAAGGAACTATCGAATTGGATCACAGTGTGGCATTTAGTGCCATGGTGTAGTGACCATGGTGGTAGTGGATCAAGGGTTGGACTTGATGGTCTCAGACATCGTTTCCAACCCGGCTGATTCTATGATCTTATGAATGAGCACATGGAACAAATAAACATATTTATAACTAATCTACACTAATATTTTGTCCCTACTACAGTTACATAGCTTTATGGATTCCAAATCCAAGCTTAGGTACAAGATTCCAAACTTTTCTTAGTGGATTTAACTCTGCAGTTGAATTCTACACCACCTTCCCCTCAATAATCTTCTCAATTAATAATAAATGAGTACCTTAAAACCTTATGCTCCTGCTGGTGTTCCCAAGTGTCATATTGTTATTACAGAGACTAGCAGAATGGTTTTAAGGAATATAGTTTGTTATGTTGTTGTTGTTTGGTGGTTTTTTAACCTAATTTTTGATAACATTGTGTGAACACTTGGTGTGTTAAACTGGTCATGCATAAATGCATATTTAGTTTTTGTCCTGTTGTGGCAATGAGTAACGAATCATATCTGTGTGCTGGATGTGACTTAGTAAGAAGCATGTTGGACTTTAAAACTGGTGAGAACTTAAAATAATCCATGTCTATATCATGAGCAATGAACTTTGCAGTGGAAAAGACAGCTCCGTTAAAAATTTTGGGACTCTGCAAGGGACCACTGCAGTGCTGCTTCAGTTGTACCTGAAACATGGTGTCTTCCTACCCTATTATTTGAAAACAGAGCAGCTTAACTGAGTAACAGAAACGCTGCTGAGTCTATCTAGTTTTGTCATCAAACCCAGTATATGTCAGTATGTTGCATCATGGACATTTTTGCTGCTTTTCTTTTGTTTTTCCTTTTTTTTTCTTTTCTTACAGTGACATCACACTCCTAAATGATATTTTAAATAAATGTGTCAAATAATTCAGTTAATCAACTTCACACATTATTTCAAAATCTGATACTGTAACACATGTTTTAGCAACTGCATTAGTGGTGTTTACACCTACCTTTTAAGACACAGAAGACAAATCCAAGTGTCAAAATTTGCTACTATTTTTCTAATCATTGAATGATATCCTTATGTGCAATTAAATTTTCGCAGTAGAGATAACTGTGCGACTACAGCTAACAAGAAAGTTACACTTATTTTTACACTTTATCCCATTCAGCAGTACAAATGCTAATAATCCTGCTAATATAGTGGTGTATTTTTTGTTTGGTTTGGGGGGTTTTTTGTTTGTTTGTTTGTTTTTGGTTTGGGTGTTAATTTTAAATGAATGAATGCTTCAATTTGGTAAGATTTATCTGATTTAACTTTCACGTACAGGTTTTAAAAATATTTTCTGACTGTTTATCTTTAGAGCTGAAAAAGCGAGTAACAATGAATAACTTATCAAATGAAGTTAACATGCTTTTTAGCTCACTGAATATTTATATAAAAATCCTCATTCTCTTGAACGTGTTCAGTATTTGAATTTACCCATGGATTAAGTGTGGACTCCCAGTGGTGTCGTTTTAAATACTCAGACCCGAGTTATGTTACTTATGACTGATCAGATAGCATAATTCCACTTTGGGTTCTTTAAGTGTGCAGTCAAATGGTTTTCGTGTGTGCTATTTTGTAAACAAAATCAGTTGCGGGAATTGTACTTCAAATAGACTCTACAGATATTTTAAAATACTAAATCACAGGTTGGACCATTAGAATTCTGTACTCTTCATGTACCTCACCTCTTCACATCCTCATATTTGTACCAGCTAGAGGTTGGCCAACTTTCAGAAATGTGGTTTGAGTAATATGGGTTGGTTCCTTTTCTCTGAGAAAGCTGTGTTAAACCGGAATCATGGCAAATGTCTGACTTATTAGAAGTGCCATAAGAAATCTTGTTCCCATAATTTTCATGCTAAAAAATGTACACCAGGATTTTCTTCTAAAGAACAGATTTAAATGAAGCTTTACCCTTCATGGAGCTGACATAGGAATTTCTACACTGTGGATATGCAAAATAATCCCTAAATTCAGATATATTCAAAGGTACAGTTTAGGCTCTCTGTATTGAAGACATTCTAACATTTTTCTTTTATTTTAGTTACAGTGTTTGATTGGATAGCAAATATAAAAACAAAGCATATTTTAGATTATGAGAGCTCAGCAGTTATCACAGAAAAGGCCAAACACAAGTTTTCACACGAAACATTATGAGGCACTAAAAAAATTCCTTCTAAGTTTGACAAAATCGATATTTTTAAAAGCATTTCAGCATCTAAGAAGGAGGAAGAAAGGAGATGAAAGAGTTAGAGAATGGCATGGGAAGAGCATGAACTCAAAAGTATCAAGGAGTTCCACATTTGGAGAAACAGAAGCCCTCTGAGGAAGAGAGAGAGGATAAACCTCTGGTTAAGACCATGCCAGGACAGAAGAAAAGACATCTGATATCTTATAACCAGCTAAATAATACATCTTCAAACCAATGAAAAGTCACTAGAATGTTACAGGACATTATGTTGATATGTTACTGACTTTGGAAGCCTAACAGCAATTTAAAAGGCCTCTGGTCACCTGGCAACAGAAAGGGATCTCCACCCGATTTTGTTCTTGCTTTCCTCCAGTGATTCAAAATGATGGAACTGCTCAGGGTAAAACAGTTTAACTGAGGTAAGAGCTGCTTCTGTTCCCGGGATAGTCAGCACACAGCCTTTGCTGAGCCTGAATGTAACCCTTACAGAGACCTGTTAGGAAAAATATTGCTTTTTCTCTGTTTGGTTAATTCACTGTCTTCTGCACCCAAGAAAGGAAAAAACCAGTAGTGTGATACCTCTGATCTGATCACGCCGAAACAAACAGTGAAAAAAGAAAAAACACAAAGCTTACACAAAAGTCTGTTCTTGTGCCTTTTCTAGTATGCATTTATAGATTCAGGCTATTCACATTGCTGGATAAAACCCCTAATATTTAGGTATATTCAGAGCACTTTAGACAATCTTCATTACTAACAAAATAAGATGTTGAGAATTTTGGAAAATTTGAGAATTTGCTGAAAGCAATGCAGTGTTCTAAAAGGAGTATTTTGTGTTAGAAAAACAGGTAGTCAATATTCTGATTTCAACCTCTTTCATGGTTCTTTTTCATTTTTGTGCATATATTTAGGAGTTACTGAAATAAATCCTCAGACTCCAGTTTTAATGTAGCTTGACAAATATATTGTCATGTGATGTAATTGCACAGAGTTTAAGGGTATTAACTTTTGGAAGAAAAACATGAACTCTGCTGGATAATTTGGTCAGCCATAGAAAGAGCTAACTGATTTGGATAATGTAGCTATTATAAAACAAATTGCAAGTGATACTGGTGATATTATTAGTAACCCCTATGGTACAGCCAATTAACTATAACAGGAATTAGCTGGAACCAGAACACTCCTTGTGTAAACTGTACACAATGAATGACAACAAAACCTAAAACAAAAGCAGATACATTTCTTGATCTATTTAACCTTCTTGTAGAGTGATGAGATTTTTCAGTGGAGATTTTTTTTTTATGTGGAGGTTCATCTTAATAAATGGAGATGTTATTCAAGCATGCTCCTACTCCACTAAAGTAGACATTTTACTGTTATCTAAAGAACTGCGTGCAAAGAGGATTTCCTCTGAGAAATGTCTTTCAGTTAGACCAGTCTGGATCTTATCATTAAAAGTTGTGTGAGAAGACAATGGCTGTGATGAAAATGTCACAGAGGTCATAGCAAAACAAGGTAACCACAAGGTTTAAATAACTGAGAAAACAAAATTTTTTACTTCTAATTTTTGGTTTGAAATATTCTTTTTTCCCTAATCAATGTTTCTTTAAATCCTGGTAATTAAACAGTTTTATTAACAAATACCTTGATAAAAAAAATTATTATTAGGTTGGTGAGATTCAAAGTAACTCATCAAACTGAAAAAATCCAAACCCTTCAGCTTTTTTAAGTGTGGCATATAATCTTCACTGCATAACAGATTCTTTCTAATTTATTATCAGGAGCAAGGACCTTTTCCATTTATTTTGGCTGTAGGCAAGACATTGGTAGAAAAAGCTGCCTGCTTGCATGAAGATGGCTCTATGAAAAAAAAAGTTGAATGTAATGAAGAAATGCTGAACAGAGCTCTCAAATGTTTTCTATACATGTCCTTGTACACATGTAGGTAACAGAAAAAAACCCAACAACAAAAGTCACATCAATCAGGCATTTTCTGGTATATTGTTAGATCATCAGCTCTAAATGTTCTTTGCTGTATACTGTATAGTATATGGTGTATATAATATATTTACTATATACATCATATACTATATACTTAGAAGAAAATAAAGAATTTTTCCTTGTGTTGAGTTCTTAACAATTATCTTTTGTTAAGAAAAGAAAAGAAACATATGGAAAAAGATCTAATGCAACAGTATATTACCCCTGGAAACAGGGTTAAGTTCATAAAAAATATACTGCTTTATGAGCAACATGCCTCATTCAATCCTACATTTTTTTTTTACCACACTGCCAGATTTTGTTATATTCAGTTGTATTGACATGAATTTAGAATTATTTTCATTGGTGTCAATATTTCATCAAGTTTACAGTGGAGTAACTATTGCTCCTATGGCAACTTCTCTGTTACAACATTTGCATTTTTCCCAGTATGCATAACTGAATGAATGGGATTGATGTGGAATCTGTTTTTATTACAGAATTTTCAGTGTGGGGTGGAGGAACATAAGGATTTCTGCCTGTCCAACTGGCTCAGCTAGAAAGAAATTTAGTTTTTAAAATGGAAGTCTGTCTTCTAATTCTGGTGCTTATACTCACAATCTAACTCCAGTTCAGGAAAGTTTGTGATAATTAAGTTAAGGTATTTTTATATTTGACATGATAAACAAACAGTGTTCCATCAGTTTTTTTAAACCTCTCTTGAATTCAGAATCATTTATTTTGTCTTTTAGTGGTAAAATTTGCCCTTTGAAAAAGACAAACAAAGGGCATTCTCTGAATTCCTCAAAAAATATTGGTGACTGTATTTAATAATTTATTTTCATCACTGCA